CATGCAGAATGGTGTGGGAAGTGTTACAAAAAATGGAATGAGGAAAAACATCCTCTGGTATAAGAGCTGCCATGGGTCGCCATTCTACTTCATGGGAAGAAGGAGTTCTTCTCATTGAGGGACAGCACCTCTTTGATCCTTTTCTTGGCATTTGTAAGTCCTCCAGCTCATGTTGACCATAGAATTGCACTGAAGGACCTACAAATGTCCTTCAGGTTGGAGAAATATCCTTAGTAAGAATCTCTAGAGCAGTGGTTCCCAACCTGTGAGTTTTTGGCCTACAACTCCCAGGAATCCCAGCCAGTTTACCAGCTGTCCCGATTTCTGGTTGTTGAAGACCGAAACATCTGGAGACCCACAGGTTGAGAACCACTGATCTAGGCCCTCCAAAGTAGAGTTGATCATAGAAGTATGTTGAAAGATCTAGAGCAGTGGTTCTCAACCTATGGGTCCCCAGATGTTTTGGCCTTCAACTCCCAGAAATTCTCTAACAGCCGGTAAACTGGTTGGGATTTCTGGGAGTTGTAGGCCAAAACACCTGGGGACCCACAGGTTGAGAATCACTGATCTAGAGATTAAATCAATGAATAAGCCAATCTGCAAAGGTCAGACCTACAAATATGGAAGGCCTACTGTAGTTTTGCCTTTCATAGATGCAGCTTTTGCAACACATCATGTTCCTATGTGAGCATTAGATTAGAAATTTATTGACGACATCTCACAAGTGGGAGAGAAGGGGGAGAAGTGAAGGAAAGCGGGATAACGTCCTTAATCTAACCATAGTGTGAGCAAGCATACTTGTGCGTCCCAGATTCTTGCTTCCAGATTCGTCTGCCACTCTTACTTTCCCGGTTTTCCTTGCATCGAAGAAAGAGAACAAAACTATTGTGGCAGTAACTTTAAAAATTAAAATGAAGACAGGTTGGTGAGAATGTTCACAAGCACTGGGATACTGCCCTTTTTCATATAGGGCAGGTTCAGATACAATATTATATACTTGGCATTGCTAAAATGAACTATGCAGGGTGCTGGGTTCATATGTACTTACCTTTATACATAACAATGAGGAGGATTTCAGAAGCTTTCACTTGCAGTTTGCCATATCTCTTGACTCTAGCAAACTGTAATTAGTTTTAACTATGATGAAAGGAAACAAACACTTGAAGTGGTGGTATATATAGATAGCTTGTTTGTTAGAACTAAAATTGTATAAGGACCTTGGAGGGCATCTCGGTGTACTGCATTTAGCCACCCCCCATCTTTTGGTGTAAATCCAAATGAAGATGGAAATTTAAAATCCACCATTATTCCCAAGTATACCTGGTGCTCATCACCCGAGATACCCTCATCATTGGGAGGTTTCTCCATTGTTTCAACAAAATGTATTTTCTCCCAAATTTCTATTCATTGGTTCTAGTTCTGTCTTCTGGAGCAATGGAAAACATATCTGCTGTATTGTTTGTGTGGCAGCAATTCTGACTCTCTGTAGTTTAAAGTAACCATAACTTAGGGTTCAAATTATTATTGTTATGTTCCTTCAAGTTGACTCCAATTCATAGTGAGCTTATCCAAGGGGTTTCTTGGCAAGATTTATTCAAAGGAGATTTATCATTGCTTCCACTAAAGCTGACTGAATGTACTTAACCATGGTTTCTGTGGCAGAGCAGGTATTGAGACTGGCATCTCTAAGAATCCAAGGCTGCATCTCTAGTGCAGAATTAATGCAGTTTGACACCACTTTAACTGCCTTGTCTCAATACTGTAGAATCCTGGGGGTTGCAGTTTTATGATATCTTTAGCCTTTTCTGCAAGTAATTGCTGGTGCTTTACTAAACTTCAAATTACAGGATTCCATAGCATTGAGCCATGGTAGTTAAAGTGGAGTCAAACTGTGCTAAATCAGACCTAGTCCAACATTTGAGCCACTACACCAGTGGTTCTCAACCTGTGGGTCCCCAGGTGTTTTGTCCTACAGCTCCCAGAAATCCCATCCAGTTTACCAGCTGTTGGGATTTCTGGGAGTTGAAGGCCAAAACATCTTGGGACCCACAGGTTGAGAACCACTGCACTACACCATATTGGCTTGATGGATGCTTCTGATGCTCTTGTGATGGAAGAAGTGCTCATTGCAGTTTGATCTCATAATATTATTATATTCTTTTCAAGCCAGGACAAAAAGAGATATGCTAAAAACAGAGAGTCCGGATTTCCATCTTATGGAAGGAAGGCTTTTTTTCAGCAGTCATTAAATTTTAATTTTAAGGTCACCCTGTTAGACCTGAAGTCATTTGCCTGTTATTCTTTTAGATGGGAAAGTTTCTTTGATGGCTTCTTAAACTTCTCCAAAATTTTAGCTTTATTAAAATTCTGAGCAATGCTTTTGTGTTCTCTTTCAAATGAATATAAACTGAATGTTCTGTACTGAAAACAGATGGTATTAACTTCAGGAATACTAAGATAGACATAACGGCTAATGTCTCTACAGCAAAAGTTTCCACAATAAATTCCCTCATTATACTGGCCCATCACATTAACAGGGCTGTGTGGATCAATGCACACCTTAAGTCATTGTGAGAAGAACATGCTGTTACTTAGGCCCCATCTACACTGCCATATAATCCAGTTTCTGAATCCAGTTTATCTGCTTTTGGTGAATTGTAATGTGCCGGTTTATGGTTGAGATTAATATGAGTGCATTAACTAATTTGCATAATAATGTACTTTTGGAATTATGTTTTGGTCAGGTCAGCACAACAGTTTTTTCAATGTGAGGCTTCAGGTTTTGTAAGCATTCCATTAATACTGGTGGGCTGACAGCATTGTGATGGAAATAGTAAATAAAATGTTGAATATCCATGCAGTTGACTTCCTTAAAAAAGGGAAAGAAGAAGGCACAATTGTTTTCTAAGTTTATAAGCAAGTTATTCCTCTCACTTTGCTCACACCTACTAAATGCATCATTTCAGCTCTTTGCACGGCTTCAGCATTAGCTTTTCTCCTGATACTCAACTCCATGTTCAGGTCAGAATACCAGGTGTTTAACATATTCTTGACCTACTGGGAAGAAAACTGTCTAATTTAAGCTTGTATCTCTTAAAATGGCATATGTCCTTGACACATATTTACCCAGCATATTTATAATAGTTGCAGATCCAAATCTGGAGTGCCCCTACCCATAAAGCCTTTGGAAAATCATGGCAGTAAAGATGTCTGGCACAAAGCTTAGAAAAGTTATTATTACAGGCAGCTCCCAATTTACAGAAATTGGACTTACATACAACTCATTACATCAGAAAGTGAGAGAAAATTTAACCTGAGGAAGGAAAATCCACTCCTGTAGGAGTTATCATGGGAAAAAGGGGTCTCAACTTTCTCCTGAGTCCTTGTTTTCACGACAAGCCAAAATTTTCAAAACCCAATTGTCACAGGGATAAAAAATGAGGTTACTTCTTCTGAACAGGGGCACAGATAGCAAAATAAACACCACAGGAAGGCATGTAGCTGGGGGGAGGGGGGGGCTCGAGGGGCTTCAGCCCCCCCGAAATTCTCATGGTGGTTTGCGAAAAGGCCTTACTGGTGCATTACTTAAACTGTTATGTTTATTCATATCATGATCTGATCACCATATTCAATATATCCCATATGCATGGGGGTATTGGGGTAATGATACAAAAGGTTTGCTAGGGTAGACCCTCTTTCACTCAGACTCAGCCCCCCCGAAACACCCCCTGAAAAAAATTCAGGCCCCCCCCCCCCCCGAAACGAAATCCTGGCTACGGGCCTGACCACAGGGCTTCCCTAGGTGATCCAAAAACTTTAAAAAATATTTTGGTTGGAATTATACTTAAGAATGTACTTGTTCCAACTTACATTCAAATGCAACTTAAGAACAAATCTTAAATGTCTTCTCCCCACCCCATTTCTTTGCTCTTACGTATTTCATACATTAGAGGCATGCAATGGCCAATAAGGAGTTATAAGAAGTACCTGAACATCTGGAGACCTCCTTTATCTCATGCTACTGATCTTGGTAGATATGGTAGCCCCAAAAGGGAATGTGCTGTCCAGTTGTTGTCAAGTTTTGACGACTTTGGTTTAAACCTGAACAAGAAGGGCTGTTCCTAATGTTCTTACTACTATTACTACTACTACTACTACTGCTGCTGCTAACAACAACAACAACCTGCCTCTCCTGGCACCTTGAGTACAACAAACTAAAAAACAAATGTTCATAAAATACAGTAAATTACCAAATTACATAAACACACACGCGTGCACACACACATATGAAAACTTGTATCAAACACAGCTACAGAATTGACATATAGTGGCAATAAAATGTAAATCAAAACTCGTGATTGAAAGTTGATTGGGTAGGCCTGCCGGAATAGATGGGTCTTCAATTGCATTTTAAATTCCAACACCTCATTTAGCTGTCATAGCTCTTCAGGCAGGTCACTCCACAATTATGGGGCGGCTGATGAAAATGCCCTCTGGTTGACAGTCACCAGTCGGGTTCTGGCTGGCTGGAGTTCCCACCCACCAGAGACCTCAATGGGGGCAAGGATTATACAAGAGAAGGCAATCTGTAGGTAACCTGGACCCAAACCATGTGGAGGAGATGTAAGGGAAGTGCCTGCAATCAGATTAAGTCGGTATTTGTATAGTTTTGCAAGAAGTTCCATTCCTCCACATAGGCCAATAGGAAATTTCCTTTCTGCCAGTGAAGCCAATGCAACTTGGAGAGATGGAGAAGAGCAGGAAAATATGTTTTTCTTCCAATGTGTCATTATAAAAGTGCTATGAAACTGCTGTACAACCACCTGTTCTCTCCCTTTACCTCTTTCTTACATAAACTTAAGATCCCTAATAATCCTGAGATGCTAAGGATAATGGAGCTATCATCTTAAATATCCATGATTATAATACTATATGCCTAGTAGCTAAGCATGATTTTAATTGAATATATTATAATTCAGATTGGGTTTTTGTATCCACAGTGAGAGATGCAAGGAATCTAATTCCGATGGATCCAAATGGACTTTCAGACCCATATGTGAAGCTGAAACTTATTCCAGATCCCAAGAATGAGAGTAAACAAAAAACAAAAACCATCCGCTCCACACTTAATCCTCATTGGAACGAGACATTCAAGTTGTAAGTTAAAATGGAATATATTTTTTTCTTCCAATTTCTGTGTTGTTTTGTATGTTTCATTGTGTTTCAAAAATATACCAAAATATTTTTCTGGTCTTCTTTGCAGTAAATTAAAGCCTACAGACAAAGATAGAAGGTTGTCCGTGGAAGTTTGGGATTGGGACCGAACAACTAGGAATGATTTCATGGGCTCTCTTTCTTTTGGGGTGTCAGAACTCATTAAATCACCGGCATGTGGATGGTAAGAGTTTTTGTGATGGCCCAGCACACATTATTGATATGTCATTTATCCTTTTACTAAGATAAACCCTTATCAAACACGTAAAGGTTTCCTAACTATATCCTATTTATATTATATTGTATGATTTCCTTTGTTGTTTTGGGGTGTGTGATAAAGTTGGAATCAATAATAGATGCACACTGCTTTGATATTGACAAATCATCGTTCTTCTTCATGTTATTTCTTGTGGATACTTACTGCAAGACAATTATCAATTCTCTCCCATTCTTAAAAGGCTAAAGCAGGCCTGGTACCAGCTGCATGACCTGCTTTGTCCAGGCTTAGTAAGGAGAGAGGCTGTGTTACTTGTAGCTTTAAAGTGTAGATTTGCTATGCAAGGTCCCATCTCAGCTGAAAAAAAGGTCCTTTTCGTGCCATGAAAGACTAGGAAATGTTTGTGTTTGTGATCTATAGGTACAAACTACTTAACCAGGAAGAGGGTGAATATTACAATGTTCCAATACCAGAAGCTGATGAGGATGGAAATGCTGAACTGAGGCAGAAATTTGAGGTGAGACTATAACCACACGTTGGACAATATGTAGTTCAGTAATCCTGACACTGAACTTTCTAATTTAACTATGATGCACATCTGCTAATCTTTCTGGATTTTCACTATCTCTTTTAACCCAGTTTGCACAATTTTTGGTCTAGTGTTATGTGCACAGCACTAGAATTTATGATATCACAATTAAAGGAATGCATTAAAAGTTATGGTTCTCTTAATGATACAGTAAAGGGAGCTGTAAGCACTATATCCTAAAGATTCAGATCCCTCCTTTCAGAATGTTTTAGTCTTTACTACAAAGGAAGGACCTCATTTTCTTTTGATTGTCTGGAGTGTTACCCAGTTTGTTGTTGAAGGTTTTCATGGCCAGAATCACAGGGTTGCTGTTATATTTTCAGGCTGTATGGCCATGTTCCAGTAGCATTCTGTCCTGAAGTTTCACCTGCATCTGTGACTGGCATCTTTAAAGGTTTGTGAAGATGCCAGCCTCTGAAGATGCCAGCCACAGATGCAGGTGAAACATCATGAGAGAATACTACTGAAACATGGCCATACAGCCTGAAAAACTCACAGCGACCCACTGTTACTCAATTATTATTGTTGCTTTGACTTGAAAGAGTAATGATGTCGATGAGAAAAAGAAACTAGAAGGAATCTATGAAAAGGGGAAGAAGCATATGGAGACAGAAGGAGGTTGTGCCGATTGCAATGAGAAATATGGATAAAAGGGCAGATTTTGAGAAGAATCTCAAAAAAATATTGGAGAAATGATGAAGTGGAGAAATTCTCAGCAGGGGCTAGATGGGAATACTGTGGGTGCATCTACACTGTAGAATGAACACAGTTTGACACCACTTTTGCTGCCCTGGTTAAATGCTATAGAATATGGGTTTAGTATACCAAAGACTGTTGGTGCCTCACCAAACTACAACTTCACAGAAGTGAACAATGGCAGTTAAAGTGATATCAAATTGCATCAATTCTACAGTGTAGATGCACCCTGAGAGAAAGAGGGGTTGGTTTTGCAAGGTGACTAGAAATAGTTTGATATGATGAGGAAGTGAATTATTGAGTGAAAGGATTAAGGAAACACTACTTGAAGAGTAGATTCCTTATTATCTTTTGAGCAATCAAATTGGGTCTTCATAGGCTGAGACTTAGGGCCCATCCAGACAGCACCTTTATTGCGGAAACTTCCGCAATAAAAGGATGGCTGTGCAGATGACATTCTGGGCAACCCGCAATTAATTCACCACAAACCAGGAAATCCCTGGTTTGTGGAGAATTAATTAGATAGTAGATTCATTCCGCGCCTTCTTGGAAGGCGTGGGATAAGCCTACCACTTCCGGTGTCTGGACTGCAGTCCAGACACAATTCCCACAGTTTTCTGGACTAAATCCCACCACCCTCCCCACTCTCCTGGTGCATCATTTCTATGTGCCGGGAGAGCTCCAGCGACACTCTACTGGAGGTCAGGTAAGTTTTCCTTACTTTTAAAAGGGGTTTTAGGAATTTGGCGGAGGGAGGTTGAACCTCCAGGTGTTCTCCCGGGCCAGTCCCAGAAGTGCGTGCTTTCTGGTGTGTGTGTGGATAGAGGCCCAGGAATATTTTAAAGGGCTGTGTGGAAGCACCTCTAGATCAGCTTTTTGCATTACCATACAGTCACCTAATTTCCTTGTGTGTATAGAAGCATGCCAGAACTCTGCAGTCAGCCATAGCTTTGTGTTGCTATGCTGACTTAGAAACTATGCCCCCCAGACAAACCAGAATATGGAAGCCATGATTTAATCTACCTGGAAGCCATTATTTTGCTCCAGGACTTTGACAACACTGTGGAAACTTCACTGTATGAGCATCACTATGGCTTTGCTTCCAAAGAGAACGGAGTGTTTTTGGACACTTAGTACAGTTCTCCTTTTATAACTTTGCTTACAAGATTTTCCTTTTATAACTTTGTTTTTTCTCATAATGATATCTTTGCTTCACCTATAAGTTCTCTTTCTTGAGCCATAAAATGCTTGTGGTTTCTGAATAGTATAAAATAATGAAACAGTACATTAGGTTTTCCATTGCTCATTTTCATTATATTCTGCATGTAATGGGTGTTGAATACTGCTTAATTGCTAAATACTTCGGAAGCAATGTGTTGCACAAAACCTAGATTTTAAAGGGTAGTCTACCATACCGTTTATAATGGAACACATACAATTGTAGATCAGTTTAATGACTTGATAAAATCGTAATCATTACATGAGGAATGAATCAGTAACAGCAGAGATAGTAGATATAATGAAAACCTTTCTGATATTAGCCACACACACGCACATATCCATTCCCTCTTTAAAATAGCAACTGATTGAGCCACTGCATATAGACTTAAAACATGTTCCTTTCCAAAGCATCTTTTGAACTACCTCTCATGGGTTTTAAGGAAGAGAACTGGTGGTAAACCATTACAATAATGGAGATGCTCGTGTATGTTTTGAAATGTTGGACATCTTTCAAATGCCTGTGCATTCACACCCTTAAAATATGACATTTTTCTGAAAACATGTAGCATTGTAACTAAAAAGAAAACTAGAATTTCCATTATATTGATAGCTGGTAGCAGGGCAGAGAAGAAGAACCTGTTGTGTAGAAGAACCTACATCTCGAGTTAATCAAGTAAACAGTGTAATTTCAAGTAATTTCATTTTAAAGCAACTACCTTGAGTTTTCAGAAGTTTGCATTTATCTCTGCCTTGTGTTTGTAGATAATACGTACCATAAGTGGTATTAAATGGATATGTTTCTCCATTTATATTATATTGTCTCCTTGCAACAGACATTAGTCTTATTGAAGAGTCAATAGGTCCATTGGTCAGAATGACTAATGGAAATTGTACTTGTACAGGTGATCTTGATGGGTACTGCTGTTCCGCAGGTTGTGTTCCCATTTCACAACTGAGAGCCTTTAATGGAGGAGTGTGAGCCATTTTCCTGGGGACAATTGCTTCCATGCACAGTACTGTGAACTCTCCCATCCACTCCAGCCTTCTAATTGAAATGATTGTGGTTGATATTGGTTGCTCATTTCAAGGCTGCCGTGCTGGATTGGAGTACAGTCATTTCAATCTCCATTTGCATATTGAGTATAGTTCTCTGGGCCTTGACAAATGGCCTTTTCACAAGAACTTGAGACAGGCATGAATGCTCCAGTTGAGATAGCTGGAGCTGATAGCAAACATGTAGTTGCTTCCAAAAATAAGGACAACAGCTACTGAACAATTTGATATTAGTATTTGTTTATGGGCCTTTAGCTGATTTCTCATCTGTCTAACATCCTAGACTATGTGTATAAATTTAGCTTGTGTTCCATGCTTAATGACTGCCATCTCTACTATTTTGCAAGGGGGGAAATGTGCATTAAAACATAATGACCCTCCTTTCCTGCTAATCATTACACAACTTATAGAAGAGAAATTAGCACCAAAGTTGGTAGAGTTCTTACTTGAATGGAAACTCACAGAAAAGCAGCAGCCAGACTTACAGAAAGGATCCATCAGAGTTTGCTTTTTGCCTTACTTATCTTCCTGATAGCTCTTGACAAGGTTATTGTCTTCTTTTGCATTGTGCTTCAAGCATAAAACACTAGCAGACATACACAAAACCGTTCAGAGTTTAACAGTTTTAGCAGAAATCATGTTGCTAAACCAGGGACATTGATTCCCTTCCGTATAACAGAATCACAGTGTGAAATCCTTCCAGTGCAGTGAGGTAGGCTCCTTTCTCTTTTCAATCAAAATTCTTCAACAGAGGAGAAGCAAGTTGCTATGACCTGGAAAAAAATTGATGAAACCAAGTAAATCTGCATGTATTCTTCTAGAAACAAAAAAAAGGTGGCAAAAGGCTATGGAGGGTGTTGGCACCATTGCCATCTTTAGCCTTCACTGTTGGAGATCCCCCTTTTCCCGCGTTCTGTGATTTTACCATTTTCATTTACACTTGGAACCCTATATTCTTAGTTACCCCACAAAAGCTAGGTACTGCACATTTTTTCTCCTTTATGAAAAACTGTGATTTTTCAGATCCACTCAGACCTTTTCTACACAGCTAGACAATCCAGGTTATCAAAGCAGAACATCCTCATTATCTGAACCACATTATCTTAGTCTACACTGCCAAAAGTTAACTTTTTAATTTTTGTATTGCTCTTTTTAAACTGTTCTCCCCATGGGGACTCAGTGCGGCTAACATCTATCCACAATCAACAATTTAAAAAGAGCAATACAAAAGTTAAAAACCAAATAAATAATAACAATGTGGTAAATACAAAATTAAAATATAGTAAACACATTAAAATGGCCTTTAAAATCTGACCCCCCCCCCAAATCCCACCCTACCTCCCCAGAGCCTCCACTAGGTGGTGTTCAGAAACCTTTTACTGTTGCCATTATTTTTGCAACTCCCACATTAAGCTACCACCACCCCAGTGTTCTCAAGTTTCTCAAGTCGCTACAAGTTGAGGATGCCATAGGTTGGGGTTATGATGGCTAAAGTAGAAAAAAAACCCTACAAGTTGAGAACGTCATAGGTTGGGGTCATGATGGCTAAAGTAGAAAAAACCCTACAAGTTGAGGATGTCATAGGTTGGGGTCATGATGGCTAAAGTAGGAAAAAATCCTACAGGTTGAGGACGCCATCGGTTGTAGAAAAATAAGAAAAGTAGAAAAATAGCACTATAAATCTGCAGTGTGAATTGGTCCCAAGTTGGAGAAGGCCATGACCTCCTACAAGGAAGAAGAAAATGATGCTCCTGGGGATACTGCTGATAGTTGATTGACTTGGCCATCCTCTTCCTCTCTGAGAGGTTGACACCTTACTTGATGTTGTGTCTAACCCAAACAAGATCAAAGGATTGTTTTCTGATGTTTGCAGCTGATGGGCATGAAGCCCCATGCCATTCTGTCCTTTCTGATTCTGTTACATAGGCTGCAACAACATATAAGCACATGATTTTCCT